CCGATTCCAGAATAGCAATACAGTCTTAAGGACACTGTGTTGTGGTAGAAAATCATCTGCAACGCCGATGACTGATAATAATGGTACTGTGTAAAGCTGAACTGTGACATCAACAGACACCCAATGCGGATTTCTGTGAGGTTGAGGAAACATTTTTCTACTGAATAAGCTCTAGGCGAAAACGACACTTTTGGAAGAAAGTAAAGTGCATTGAAACTTTAGAGCCGTATGAAATAGATAAAGGATAAATGGTAAAGCACTCAACGTCAGCGAATTCCTCGCCCGTTGTACCACGCATCCTACTCCATTGAAGCGAATAAATGCATTTATGGCCTATCCAGTTGCTTGCGGTGATCTACCTAACTACTAGACCAGCGTTTCTTTGCTGTCCCAGGCAGGCCTGGTACAAATTTGCTGATCCCGGATGGATGGAGCGCTTTTTCTCTGACGCACACGGTCGAGCAGATTACAGTGTGTGTGCTACCGCTTAACCTCTAGCCACTGCGCCATGCTCATTCGAGATGAAATGATTGGTATATAACAAAGAAATAACAGTACATGTAAAAGTGGTAAATTTAACTATTACTTATGTGTTTCTCAATCAACGTAACATTAGAAAGATGATCTTGGTATGTTTTATTGAGCTTTTTGTGGTATCTTCTTTCACCGACAGCAAAAGAAGGCCTCAAAATCGCAATGTTCAACGAATTCTTTCTTTGAATGCTCGAAAATGATTTTCAAAATTGATTGTGCTAGATTTTCATCCTTAAACAAGTATGCTTTTCTTTTTTTTTCATAACTGTGCGAAATACATGTGGAACGAAAATGTTTCGGTAAATAGTTGAACTAGTAGACTGGAAGAAAGAAGGAACTCGATCAAGGAGTGTTAAATTTACTTGATACTTGATACTTGAATGGCTCGTCCTCACTGGTTGTGCGGTCCCAGCACAATCACTTTTCGGAGGTTTGCTGGTTAAGCCACTGTGGCTCCTTAGCGTCCCGAGGTCAGCCTGGCTAAAGTCTGCCCCAGGCCTTCATCACCATAGGCAGTCGCAGCAATTGTGGATCAGAGGGAGATTTACCACCAGGCGACTTTGATGCCAAGACGGTGGTGGATCCTGGTATTGGTTTACTCTTAGCTAGGCTTCCTAATGGAAACGCCGGACTCCTCAGCTTGAGATACCCTTCCAGGAGAAAGAGTTTTCCCGCTGTAGATCGCAGTGCGACACCCAGGAGCACCTCCCAGCCAAGATGAGGCGGTAAACCGTTGGGAGGAGAGATAAATTTAAAACACTCATAAAGCAAAATACCTTTAAATAAATCTATTTTTATGTAGATAGATAAAAATAGCTACGAAAAAGTAAAGTTATCAAATATTGAATGTTTTGACGAACTAAGGAAAAGAAAATGCGATTTAAAGTTTCTAGAGAACCAAACTCATTTGCTGAAAGCCCTCATCAAACTGCTCTGTCGTCTCAACTATTTTTCCCTTCAAAACACGCGTGATTAAACGAAGGTATCAGATAAATAGCAAATGCATTCTGCATTGCCCCATAACAACGAGTCGTTTAGATCCACAAGAAAAGTCCTCAACTAGTTCATTAGATTAAAGGCTAATGAATTTTAACCCTTTTATTTACTGCCTTTTTCTTCCTAATGGCGGGGTATGTTGCGAAATTTAACTCTTATGAAATGCTGAGATATTTGCAAAACTCCGAACCGCAGGTGTATGCAGTGGGGAACGACCACGCGCTGCTTCCCGGTAAGGACAACAGCGCGTGTTCGTTCCCCACTGCATACACCTGCGGTCCGGAGTTTTGCAAATATCTCAGCATTTCATACGAGCTAATGAATTTCTTTTGTATCCAGTGATGAAGTTACTAAGTCAACTCTTCGAAAGAGGTCAGCAGCATTTCTTTTTATTCAACGTTACTCCATTAATCTGGAAAAAAGATCAAAGATGAAATCTGGGAATTCACTGTAAATGGAGATCAACACAGTTTGTAAGCCATAGAAACCTACCATATAAATATAGCCGAATTCCACAAAGAGAGAGAAAAAATGGGAAAAAGGAGAAAGATGAATTTAAAGGGAAAGGGAACACAACCCCAGTGCTACCAACTACTGCGCTGACCTTCTATTATTCAATCCCCTACTTCCTTACTTATTTTGATACTTAGATAAACAATGTTGGTGCTATTTTAAAAGTTCTTCAATTCGCTCTATTCTCTAACAACCATCATCCATGGAAGTTATCGGCTTCGGATGCAATTTCGATCACCTGAGGAACTGTCGTCTAACTAGCATGTATGAAATGTTGAATACTGGTTGAGGGTAACTTTCTCAGGATAGATCTCCTTCACTGCTGACATTCGTCGACTATTCTAGAAGGAAGGAAAGTTTTTTGCTCATGACGTGAATTCCACCAAGCGTATTAATCCTCTGCTCGATGGGGAACGACGTGTATAGTCAAACAATAGAATATTTATTTTCTTATTCATTTATCTACCCACTTATTTGGTCGCAGAATCTATGCAGTGCCAATTACTCTGCTCATGTGCGCGTGTAGCCGGCAGTTAGAAGTATCTTTCTCTATTGCATTCGCGGTCTTTGGTTTGTTCTCGTCCCTTAGGGAAACTATTCTCCCAATCTCTTCAGGGTTTGCGAATTAACGCTGCACTACTATGCGAAGGTAAAAATAGTTACTTGGTACATCAGTAGGTCACCGAAATTGTATAGGCTAGTTACGCCCTCAATCTCACGTCTAAACCCGATACGATACTTAAAATAGCAGTATGAAGTCGATAGCGAGGCGATATCCTTAGCAATTGATTAAAACCCAACGGCATTCTTTTCTTCAACTATTATAAAGTAAATTTAAAAACATTTGCTTGTATCAAAACGGAAAGTACTAATAAATGAGCTCTTGCAGAAGTAGGTTTTCTTGGCTTTTGGATTATTCTAGAGATATTCCAACCTATTCTCTCGTTTGTGACACTACTTGACTCATTTCCATCTGGGCTTTAAAAATCATCAAATCATTCTCTACAGAGTTAGTAGAAAGGCAGACCAAATCTATAAAGTGAACTTTTTAAGAAAATCAAAACTGCTGTTTATATGATGATATTGAGGCTTTCATGACTGGAGAAACAACTTTGAAAAATATGAAAACTATTTTCAAAAATGCCTTTATTAGGAAGTCAACTATGAAGATACTACGGCAAGATTCTCTCTATAAAATACATATGAAAAGGATTTATTATCCAGAAAGCAATAAAAGCACCTCGTTCACAAGGCGAAAATGAAAAACTGCTTTCAAAAGTACGACCATATATTACAGGTCTTCTTTACTTGCTTAAATCGAAAACATCAAAATGAACTAAATGTGGAGCGAGTAGCGCAGTGGCAGTGACTCTGTCAAAATGCGGATTGTACAGCTTACTAAGGCTTTGGTTCGGTCCCGCCTCAAGCTCACTGATGCTTTCGTCCGTCACTCCGGGGTGGGGAAATTGCTACCAGTCTTATGTGAGAACAGTTCACTCCCTTCAATCTATGTGCGAGCACTCAAGCTCGGCTATCCCAGGACTCAAGGAGAATCGACTCGACCATCATTCAACGATATTCGTAACGAGAACGAATATTCTCGAAGACCAACAGAACTTACAGGCAAAAAAATTCGAACACCTTCGTGGATAATGGATGCGAGGAAACGAATCGTATGCAAGAATGCTGAGAGTGTAATGCAACAGACGTTGAGTCGCGTAACAATATTAACCAACATAATAGGTAGAATTAACTTGAACTTCCCTTCTCGACTGACCTACATAAAACGGATGTGGGAACTCCAAATTCCTATTTAGCATGGGTTTGTAGAGGAGGCTGACGAGTTTAGCAGTACGGAAAAGAGTTATTCTGAGATATATGTCAAATGCATAAGGGATTGCGTTCATTGAGGTTCGCCTTGCTATATTGGCTGTTATTGAAAGTTATCTATGTCTACGACATTTTGATCGACGCTTTTATGAGAGTAACAACTCGTTGGGCTCGATTAATTTTACGATGACTACTTCAATGCATGAAAAGGGCGAAATTCGGAGTAACGTTAGCCAAAGTGAAATGATTAATGTACTGACTAAATTCCTGACATCCATCAAGAATAGAAGGAATAGATTGATCGTTAACCTAGTTAGCAAAAAAATTAGTCATTAATTTACTGAATCGACTTTCACTTAACGTCGGCGTGAACGGTTAGCATGCTTTTTAATACTGTTCAGCTTACACGAGGCTGCTGAAAAGGTTTGTTCGGCTAACGTTTTGACGTCTTCGTTTTTCTTTAAAACCGATGATCCAAGTCGATGGTCCACAGACGTTCGGCTTTTCGATGTGGTGTCTTCGTAGTTGCATCCAGTCGAATCTTCTTCAGTGGGCTCGAATGAAGTGGAGTGTATATAGTGAAGCGGTTTTCTACGTGAAACACACTTTATTCCAGCTTATACTAATTATTACATCTGGAATTTCCCCCAATAATACCGATTTCAGAAGCCATTCGACACTATTTGTTGCCTTCTGAATCTTTTTACCCTCTTCATACGCCTTACATGATTAGCTTTGGAGAGAGCAAATCAGAGCTAGCCGGTAATTTTAGCCCTAAAATAAATAAATAGCCAATAAAACGTCGGTGGAGCCAAAGTGTAGGTGGATAATATTTGATAAAAGCTAGAGAAAAAGGTGTCGTCATTGTCTTTATTAATGACTATTTCTGAATTTTCTTAATTCCATAAAATTAGCTTATTGGAGTTTTCTCGTTTCGAATGATTTATTGAATACGAATTAAAACCGGGCCGAATGACATCTCAAAGGTCATTTGCAATCCAATGAACGATGGGAACGGAAGAATTCTTCCATAATTACACCGGCTATAACAACAATAGCTATTTATGATATTCTTAAAAATTATGCCCAAATACATTGGAAACGGCAATCAATCGAGTTTTCAGTTATCAGTTGCCAATTTCAGCCGCCTGAAGAGCCGTTTTGAACGAATACGGTACGAAACCGTAACCAAGGCCCAGATAGAATTTCGATTGGAACTCCACCCTAAAAGCAATATAGACATTTCAAAGGCAGTTAAGAGAACTCTAAATGAATACTCAGCTAATCTTTAGTTGAAACATACGTCGCATTCTTAGTACGAAATGTTTAGACAATCAGGGATTCAGGAAGAATCCATGCTTATGTAAACAGATTCAAAAATTCAATACTCTCACTTTAAATTTCCCAGACCTAGAGTGACACTAAAAAATAACCCTAGTAATTGTTCAATCAAATTCAAGTATTCAGACAAGGAAAGAAAGAGTAAGGTGCAGAAGAACGAGAAAAAGAAGAAAAGCAGAATTAAGAACTAGGAAATCAGAAAGAAGAGGTAGGAGAATACGAAGAGGAAGGGGGATTGTCGATGCTTTTCTTCGAAGCAAAAGGAAAAATTTTTACACTCCTTGTTAGTGAGAGTTCTTTTCTAATGGAAAAAGATCTTTCTGTAATACAGTCTAGTTGAACAGAATAACTCTATACAAATAAAAACTTCCTATTGGATTAGTGGGTAGAACGGCCTGAAGGCATTTATTAATTGAAGATATCTGGATCAACAACTCACCAGTGAAGTCGAAGGGCGTGTAAGAATGCCGAAAGACCTTCCATAAGTACAAGAATCGAGAAGGTGAGCACACCGAAGAAGAAGAAGATCACGTACGTCGCAATGTAGCTTGCAACGCCGTCCAGACTGAACGCCTGCACCAACACCATGTGCCATAACACTTCGGAAAGTTCTGAAACAAGAAACACGTTGTGGAAATAAGTTCTCTTTAACTTCAACACGGTCTTCAATCTTAATTTCATTTCTTGATTCGCAGATACTCTCCTTATAGTCACCAGTTTCCTAAAATAGATGCCCTATTCTTAGAAACGTGACAAGCTGCTACTTTGTCAACGATAGTTATTAGCTAGGCACTATAGAAACGCGACACCAGACACAATCTTGTTTTCAAAGGCAGAGAACAAAAAGAAGGTAAGATAAAGGGCTGAGAGCCTGTCACATAAAAGTATATGTTTTTATCCCGTGTCGACGTTTATTACGTTGATGGAACGAAAAGCAGCTTAGTACGAATTTATCTTGAATATAGACAAAATGTGAACAATTATCGTTAGCACTGACGTAGATGCAGAATAAAACATGTCTTTAGCTCAGCCTTTTTATTTACTGCCTATTCTTTTTAATGGCAAGGTATGTTGCGAAATATAACTTGTATAACGCTGAGATGTTTGCAAAACTCCGGACCGCAGGTGTCTGCCGGGGAGTAACGCGTTCACCACCACACCATGCGGGTCCTTCGTTTCGCCTGCCTCTCAGCTAGTTCTAGCGATCACTTGCCATCAACAATCGCCCGTCAATGGGATTTATATGCCGATTTGGGCTCCCCAGATCAATCCTGTTGACGAGTGATTGCTGATGGCAAGTGATCGATAGAACTAGCTGAGAGACAGGCGATGCGAAGGACCCACATAGTGTGGTGGTGAACGCGTTAATTCCCGGAAAGGACAATAGCGCGTTCGTTCCCCCGACAGCTGCGGTTCGGAGTTTCGCAAATATCTCAGCATTACACATGCCTTTACCTTTCACTGAAAATGGGGACACCATAACAACTCTCACAAAGATAGTTATCCTGCAATTTTTTGATTCTCTGCATATCGCGCAACATAAATTAGCACATAGTGGCCAGCGTACGTTTTATTATCGTAGGTCCCTCTTATTTCGCGTGGCAGACAATGCAAAAAACTCTTTTTATTATCGCAATATTCAGAGAGCCTGTGGCGCATTAGTTAAAACTGACCAGTAATACGCATATGGTCGTTGGTTCGAACCAGTTTCCCGCGCAAAGCAGGCATTCAAACGCACTGTGGTAGACAGTCTAATAATAAACATGACGGAGAGTAAAAAAACGCTGTCCATCGGTAGGTCTGCGAAAGGAGACTAAGTATACAACCACAACAATGCTGAGATATTTGCAAAACTCCAGACCGAAGGTGTTTGCGATAGAGATCGAATACGCTGCTAATCTTTCTTGGATTATCGCGTTCACAGTTATTCCATGCGAATTCTTCGTTTAGCCATTCTCTCGGCTAGTTTTCTATCTGCCAGTGAGATCAGCAATCACCCGTCATCGGGATTGACCTGGGGAACACGTTAGCTCTCGGAAAATGTAATAGCGTGTTCGATCTCCACCGCAGACACTTGCAGTCCGGAGTTTTGCAAATATCTCAACATCACAACGATACTGAGATATTCGCAAAACTTGAACGCCTGGCCAGATCGAACCGCGACTTTCCTTTCCAAGGGATCACGCACTACACACTGCACCACCGAAGGCTCTTGCTATGCGTTTCTCTCAGATAGTTTTCTAACTTACGCTGCCATCAGCAATCACACATTGCCGTGAAAAAATTACTGAGAAAAACGCAGCAAGGGCCTCCATGTTGCAATGTGTAATGCACGAGCCCCCGGAAAGGGAAATCGGGTTTCGATTTGGCCCGGGGTCCAAGTTTTGAGAATATCTCAGCATCGTTGTAGTTGCAATTCACATAATATCTGCTATGAAAAACTGAAGTAGGCAGAAAGTAAAAGGTTGACTTTATCTCAGCATCATTGTAGTTGAACATCACATAATACTCTGCCGTGAAAAATACTAGTGGGCAGTAAATAAAAAGTTAACACACTGAATATACATTCAATGACCTCCACTGTTTTAAACCTAAGAGATTGATCGACGTCGAACGGTTTGCACCTTTACACTTTACTTCAACATTAAGCTACCTTAGACTTGTTGCTCAAAAGACTACGGACTAAAAAATATACGCTTACTTTCTTTTCACTTCTTTTATTATGCCTTGTATGTTTTATAAAAAGACTATTTGTAAAGTTCACATGATTGATGCTTGTTAGCAAAAAAAAATAATACGTTCCCTCATTCTTTTGTTTTTTTTTGCGTTTGAATGTCCTCTGTTTAAATACTTTTCAACCCTTTCTCGGCCAGGATTAAACTATTGATCGATTAATCAGCATTCATTAAATCACATAACCATTATCACAGCAACGAACTCACGTGCATGTGCAAGTGACAAAGCCCAGAGACGAAGGTAGGAGGCAGTGTGCGACACACAACCGAGTACATATTCGATTGTGTGGATCGCCTGATGAACCATCACATCTCCGAACGCCTTCAATCGACATTTCAATCATCATAATGTGGTAAAAGAAAAAGTGTAAATAAAGAAGGAAAGTGGACATAGAGAAAGTAGAATACATAGAGACAGAAGGGGGAGGAGTTTGTTTGCGTGCACTATGTATGTGTGCGTGTGTGTGTGCGTGTGTGTGCGTGTGTGTGCGTGTGTGTGCGTGTGTGTGCGTGCGTGTTCCTGTCTGTGTTGGTGTGCATGTGTATATGTGTGTGGGTGTCGGTGTGTGTATGGGCATATACATACATATATATGTATGCATGCATGCATGTATTTATTTATGTATGCATGCAGTGGGATGCTCGGAATAAACAAAAGGGAGAGATATTTAACCATTAAAAAAAGGCTGTTGGCTTTGAGAACGTAAGAGAGAACTGCTTAATTAGTGAATGCGTTCATAAAAAACCCGGCACAGAATGATGTACGGGCACAAATTGCACACCTATCTATCGTGCATGGGTGATTGAAAATATCATTCATATCTACTAGAGGCATTTTAAGTCGGGAGAGTACTCTGAGCGCAGTATACCTCTTCTTCTGATTCTCCACTGTGTTCGCCAGCTTGTTTCTTGTGTTCACCATTGATAACGATTTCGGATTCGTCGGCAACCACATTTGCACGAACTGACTATAAAAGGCAAAAAAAGAAATATACAGATGATTGAAATTGTCTGCACCTGGGTTATAAACACATCACTTAGAGCTAACAAATACATTTCCACGGAAATCATCTGAATTCTCTTCGTATTGGGTTTCCCTTGGTCGCAATGGAATTGGAAAGATCAAAACTAGCAGCTCTTCTAAATAAAGCGCATTAATCTCGAAGGCAATAAATCCATGATGACGACCTTGAATTTGCACATCACCCAATCATTGACATGGGTAGTGTTAAGTGAAGTGGATTAGATCAGTGAGATTAAGTCGAAGGAGGGATACAGGAAACATTCACTTTTTGAGTTGGTGGAGGGAGTGTAGTTAGAAGTGCTCCTTTAAATACTCCTGATATTACTGTCTTTTTTCTTTAATTCTTTTCCAAATCATGCTTTTAATAGATCAATATCACTAACAATATTGCTTCCCATCACGTTTTTCTTCTTCTTCTGTTCCAATATAAAATGTATAGGCTTTCCGAATAACATGATTGGTACGCATAAAACCGCTATCAGGACCAAAACCGCCTCAACAGTGCTCTAAAATGTGAATCATCATTAGGTTGTCCTCAGCGAGATCTCAGGTTAGATAGAGAAAGGCTTCAAGCATCTAGTAGTAGAAAGTAAGAGGAAACATACTTGTCCGGGATACCACTGTGAAAGATAACAGGCATCGAGTTCAGTGTACTCTGGCGTGGTACCACTTATCACTTGCTAGAAATAATTTGCTAAACTAATTCATGACTATTAAATAATAACTAATTCGTCACATTCGTTTTTATCGAAGTGCTCCGCACTGCAAAAAGAAATATGATAACGCTCCCTGTGAAGAGCACGGTAACGGGCCGCACGATAGATAAATCGAACGGCCCAGCAAAAAGTGAACCATTTCCATAATGAGGCTTTTTTTTCGTTAATATAATGTTAGAAAATAATGTTAGTCCGAGTATTCACATGCCTTTTAGGCGATTTTTCTGAGACAAACGAACTGCTCGACGAAATCATGTCATCGCTGCAGCATCAAATTAATACATGCAACTTAATAATTTATTATTCTATTATTTCGTCTTCTAATTAAGGAACATGTCGATCACACTTGTGGACAATTTTTCGCCATGTTTCACTAAAGAACAAACTAAAGGTCCTGTCTAATTAGACGTTGATTAAGAACGTTGCTGAATAAGTAGAATTCAGAAAATATCTAAGGGTACTATAGTATTACAGTACCACCGTATTCGCTTACATGTTGGAGATGATGAAAAACCTTACAAAATCCTATGTATAGGAAAGTGATGACTGAAGTCAACGGTAACAGCTTAAGTAAACGCTCCATAATCCTAATAAAAAAACATTTTAGAAACATTCGAAGCAATTTATTGAGATTTGGCTTGATTTATATACGAATTTACTGCCTGGCTACAGTATTTTATCGCCCAGTATTAAAGCATTCAAGCTACATTTCAATATTATCTCATAAACTCTCCTTGATGAGGGCTTATGTTTCGGCGACTTCGCTTTCTTTACACCCTAGGCGGACTCCATAACCAATAGACTCTTCAAAAAGAAAAAGGGTGTTTTTGTTTTAGCATGCTAGGGATTGGTTTATTCATCCAATTTTCATTAAGACTATGGAATGCTCCCAAAATGATGGGGATAAAACTCTATAAGGACACGTCTAGGCTGTAATGAAGGCGAAGTCGCCATAAAGTTACCCACTGAACATCGAAATGCGTATAGAGAACAACGTAGAAAGGAGAGTTCATAAGATAATATAAGTTGTTTATTAAAGCTGATCATAGTTGAAAGCTCTTTGTCGTATCACTGTGCTTGAATACTTGAATGGTTTGTCTCAAAGAAGGAATGCGAAAAATCAAGAGGGTCCCAGGGAAATCCCACCTAACCGTTAATTTACTATTTGGAAAGAGTTTTTTCCCTTAGAATCTCAAAAGCCGATTTATCGCTTTCTGTGGCAGCCAATGACTACGTTGTTGACAGAATGGCAGGAACTCCTAACCCTGCTTCACCCTTAGCTGGGGATTTGAATGAAAATATCGAACCCCAAAGACACCATGCTGAGGATCAAATCTACGCTGCAGATTGCAGTTTGCTAGACCCATTAAGTCCATCCAGACATAATAAGGTGATAACTGTTGGAGGTTCCAACTAAGTAAAAGTGGTCAGTAATTTCTTGGATATCCAAAAATTCCGTGCGCCTTTTTAGCTAGAGGAGCCACCAAAAAGCATAGACGTCTACTATCTTATCTTTTTCACAATCTTTGTTGAATATTTAGAAGCGTTGTACAACTTACTTCGTCTTTCAGTTCAACAAATCCGGCAGGTCTATCTTTGAACATAAACATGTTGATGAGACCAATCTTAAAATATTTTCTCTCTTCACTCAGGTTAAGGTTGCCAACCATCAAAAGGGAACTAACCAAAAGTGACGGAGCACAATGGGATCCTGGATAGAACTGACCGAAAATCATGTCCTCCTTTACCCAAAAAAATATCCACTTCGCTATTACCTGAAGACTTGCTATCAGTAGGAACTCTACAAAGGAATAAGACCTGCAGTGTCTAATTAATCTGTCTAATTGTCTAATTGTAATTAAGCTGAACAGTAAACAAATCATTACAGTAACCATTGCTGTGCTATCTGTAAGGTAGAGGTTCCACAACTAATTTGATACACCTGAAAACCATTTCCTCTGTGAAATATTACTATGTTTTCACAAAGCATTGTTTCCCGAGCTTCCTTTCTTTTCATCGTTCCTACTTAGGTATTAAAATATCCTTGTAAATCACAATGAATAGGCACATTTTATAACTACAAACCTGTAAGCAAAGATATATGAAAATACAAGTCATGAAGAGCATTTGAGGAATGAAGACAGTGTAGATGTCGATCTTCGATTTGAAGAACCTATAAATGGATTTTTTCAAAAATAGCATATCCATTTTGCATACTCCATCCGTAGTCTTTCTGAATGAACTAAAAGAAAAAGACGACTTTTTTGCATATTTTATGTGAAGAAAAAAAATACGTGGCGTGTGTAGTGCAGTACTTAGAGGCGCCCTTCAATACACATGGGTTCGATCCCGGGCCCGAAGTACGCCACGCCTTCCATCCCTCCGTGTTCGGCAAATTGGTAACAGACCTGTCTAGGAGAATAGAGAATAGCAGCACTGATTAGATACATCGCCAGGTCCCAGCAAGTCGCTCTACAAGCCAGATACGCATTCAATCACCTTTAACGATTTTTAACGAAGTCAAATGCATTGCGCATCCATCAGGGATTGATCAACACTAAGACTACCCTTCACATTTTATATGACCCGTCTTCACATCTACTATGCGAATCCCAGCACCTCTTGCATTCCATTGCTTTCTTGGCACCCATCATCCATGAAGGTCTTCGATCTTTTCGCGTAGTTCCGCTGTAACTTGACCATTGTGGATGTAGCTGAGTGCTAGTCAACTCTATTGTCCCTGTAGCTCTTGACTGGCCGCGTTATAGCGTTCCCACTTTGACTGTGGGAAGTAAACCACTCCCAGACAAGTCTGGTACGAATTTGCCCAATCCAGAGGCACAAGGGACACAGTGGGTCCGATACTGAGTTAAACCAGCACTCGTGCTCCCTTGCGGCGGCTGCCGTCATTACGGCCATAGTCTGTGGTAATAGAAATGATGGAACGATAGAAGCGATTTTTATTTAACACCAGTGAAATCAATCGAGTGCCTAGAATTTCAAAAAATATCATATGTAACAGGAATGGCGATTGTACTGCAATGGATCGAAGTGCTTTTCGGTGTAAATAGTCTTTGGTTCTATCTCTCGCTGTAGGTCATCCAAGCTCTTCTTCATTCAGGGTTCAGTAAACTGGTACCAGACATGTCGAGGAGGATAAAATCACTGACTTGATACATCAGTAGGCTACTAAAAGTCATTGTATAGGCTAGAAAGTGTATTTGGTTGGCCCGACTGTGCTTCCAATGAGGACGAATCCGTAGGACATCCGTAATGCCTTAACATTTTGCTCTTTGTTGTTTGTAAGAACCTTACACGGTCTTCCTATAGCTCTTTCCATTCCTTCTTATTTATCTAAGTAATAATTCGTTAGTAATTTCTGATCTTTTAATAGTAGGTTTAGTCAGTTTAATAGTCACTATCGATAGTGGTAAGAAGCAACGTAGAGATACCAAAGAAGAGATAAATGAATGCTCTAAAGAAGTCAGCTCATACCTATAGTTGAAGAGACTCAACACTACGCCGAACGTCATCTGAGTAATTCCGGCAATCACGGATAATTTCATTTTTAATGAATTCAAGAAATTCAGTTTGTTTTCAGCGATGTTCCACACAGGATCCATTCCAAATACATAAGGTCCATACGTGTGCTGATAACTGTACTCTGGATCCATCTGAACTGATTCGAAATGGATTTCCCTTGAAAATTTAAACTCACGCATCTAGTATAAACAATTTTAAAACGTATAAATACGGTTAGAAACTATCCCATCATTTTGTTTCGATTACACCCTCAGCTTAACTGGGTTCATTGCCGACTTATGCTCATCAGATCAATCCCGTTGACGGGTGATTGCTGATGGCAGTGATCGATAAACTATCCCATTATGTTAAACTTCTTATTTACTGCTTTTACTTCAAATAGAACCACAATAGCACTGAGATATTTGCAAGACTCGGACCATAGGCTAGATTCCAACCAAATACAAAGCAAGGGCCTTCGTGACGCAATTAGTAGTGCGCGAGACCCGGAAAGGGAAATCGTGGTTCGATCTGCCCCGCGGTCCAATATCTCAGCATCGTTGTGGTTGTAATTCAGTTTAAAATGTTGTAAGTTATCGTTATACTGGATAATACAAAAAAGCAATCTATGCAAGGAGTTTGAAATCATTTTCAACCTCGGATCTGTTCTTTACTGCTTACACTTCATGCAATGGAAAATTTATTAGGAAAAAAGTCATATTACCAAATTTTAACAAAGAAAACGTAGAAGCTCACTTGCTGAGAAAAAATGCGACTGACCTCAATAAACATCTCTTTGTGAGTGCTTGCAGACTGATTCACCCATGAGAGGATTTCACTTCCACTGAAAACATTTGTTATGATACTCTAGAAATATTTTCCTAGTATTTTTATCCACAGCCCTTTAGTTGTGTTTCTTATGTTCCATGTAGGCAACATTACAAATGATTAAATTAGCAGCTCGTAACGATAGCAACAAAATCTAAAGACTTCTAAAACCTGTAAGGATTTAGCCACGATGTGCCGAAGATGTTGAATGATTTGGCGAAGATATCGTTATAGATGAATCCTGCATACATCGAGAAAATGCCCATGAGAAGGATAATATAGCGACCACCAAAAAACATGCCGAATATCTGTAATGATCATTAAACCAGAAGCTAGCATCGTCACTAGTAACACACAGCGTCCGCGACCCATTTTCTATACAGAAGCTGGAGTGCATAGGAGACGAAGTACATTGCATCCAATACACTTGCTTTAAAATGATTCACTTTACTAGAGCAGGCTCCTTTACCACAGTTTTTCTAGTCAAGTGACAACTTGTCTAACAGACACCTTATGTGAGGTGGCTCTCATAAAAAGTTCGATCTTTCCTGTAATGTTTAAAAATATATATGCACTCATCCTTAGTGGTCGTCCTCATTTAGCCAGCACCTAAGTTGTGTTCGGCTTACTTTAGATGTGCAAAAAGCGTTAATAGCCTGCTATGATGTCTGTTAGAAAGTCGTCATTCGTCGTTTAGTTCACATCGCCGATTTTACCAATGGTCCTGTCAGCTGAACAACCTTCCTAAAACCATCTACTTCGTCATCAATCTCACGTGCTAATCAAACAGGAGGGGCTAAAAGGGAGAAAGGGGCATCAGTGGTTTCCAATATCTTGGTTTTTAAATCCTAACAAGCTTGGAAAGTTGACAAAAGGATGGCATAGGCCCTCGGCATTGACCAACCCCTTATGGATGCCCCATGCATTCCAATTCATAAAGTATTGTAAAATATTTAGCCTATTTACCGATCTATCAAGATAATGTTCTTATCCTTACAGACAGACAAGTCCGCTATCAACTTCCCCACCCGGAAAACTCCAACGCTTACAGTCGTTGTCATAAATTCGAAATTTTTCGAATATAGTCTAAATATAACCCGCTTGTGACCTTGACTTTGCCTTATAGGAACTATCTCATCAGCAAATTTACGTCACAATTAGATGGGAAATGAACGTTTGAGGAATTTCTATTAATTTTATTGCAAATGTCAATCCTCTGATGTTTTCTTTACACATCATGGCCTCTGCAAAATCATTAAAAAGTGGTACAAAGCCATGAAAATGATGTTAACTGTGCAAAAAAACGTCGAAAGCGAAATAAGAAAGTGCTTTCAATAGAGTAATCCCATTAAATGAATAGCTTAATAGAATAGCAAAAGAAAAAGAAATAATGCCCACCTCATCCTTTATATTTCTCTCGATAAGATTCTTCTCACGAACTACAAAGTAGAGACCAGCGAGGAACATTAGAAGGCCGTGACCAAGGTCACCGAACATACAGGAGAAGATGAAAGGAAACGAGATAATCGTAAAAGGAGCTGAAAATATTGATCTTTGTCGTTAACTTCTATATCAGTCCATCTAGCGTCGTTCATTTCACTATTTCAATGCATGATTTGCGTGCATACCGTCCTTCAAAACAACGGAATATCGTTACTAACTCTACTCATTCTTAGAGTATGAAGGATTAAGCGTTCGGCGTTGATGAGAATCCTAATGAGAAATGCTCATTGCATTGGACTCCACTTGTAGTATCGCGGAGGTGAGTGGATGCATATCTGGGCTAAACGATGAATTTTAATGGTCCAGCGATATATTAAGTCCATGCTTTTATCCTATCGCACAGGTCTAGTAACAAATTGCAGACACGGAGAGATGAAACGTTTGAAGAGCCCAGGATGCGCGTTCGAGTCGGGGATCAACCTTGCATGTGTTGTAAAGCACCTCTAGCTATTGACTACAGTAGTCTCTTAGAAAGAATTTATTGTTTACTATTTATTGTTTGATACGAGATGTACCACACTTCACGGATCTCGGAACTACTTCCATTCGATTAGTTTACCCGCATATACAATCCATAAAGGTCTTCAAACTTTTTTGCATGTGGCTTCGGCTGCTAAGTGGGGATTGTTTTTCGCATTCGTCACAAATGTCGATGAATAACAGCCGAGTTTATGCCAACTATAATTATCAGATAATCGTGCTTGGATGGCCCCGCGTGGATTGGGGTGGTCATCTTGTCCGTCTCAGAAATAGTCAGTTACCAATTTCTTGATCTGAGGGAATGAGATGCTTTATAGGTCCAAAGCGCGAAGAAGCAGCACTTTGGCAGGTTGCGCCGTTCGTGTAATGAACAGTATCACTGCCATTGCACTACCCGCTCCCCTAACAATAAATAGCAGCATTAGATGATTTTATGTCTATTGTTAACACATCGTCATGGGAAGCTCTGCGTCTGCAATACAATTTTCCATCCAGTCGATTCCTTCACAATCGTCGTCCACTTTGCAGTTCTTCCTGTCCATCATTCGGCAACACTTCTCACAATACTACCATTCCATCTATGCCTCGAAATCCTAAAGACAGTACATCAATCGAGGGCTGCTGCAATTTGACGACACGTCTGTTGGAGGTACTTCAAAAGCATGGTTCAAGCGCGCTAAGTAGTACGTAAAGCTCTAGACGTGATTGAAGTGTTAACCCACTGTTCGCGTGCATAACAGAATGTGAGGCGGTTTTAGAGTACGAAAAATATTGGTATAAACGAGTAAACTATCTATCGGATTTATTTTCCATCCCACTTTGGATTTTTTTGGACCGACCTTTCTTCCGATTCATACCCGGCCTTATATTTTTTCTGTTTTGTTGATTTCTATGAGCACCGCTTCTACTTTAATAGAAATTCTCGAAAAATTTAAGATGTTATCGGTAAACATAGGTATAAAATGGTTTCGCCATTAGTGCTTATGCCTTTTCGTGTCATATGAACTATATAAATATCCAGTTCAATGAAGCGGTGAAGGATATGTGGGACTCCTGACGAGCAAATAAGGATAGACAAAAGATTTTTAACTTTGTGATAGAGTACGATACCAAAACAGAAATGCCTCCTCGTATCCCAATTATCATATCTTTCTTAGATGATGGACAAAGTTCTTTTCCAGCTTGGGGGTGGTATCCATTGGATCCAACCTTTTATGTTTTTCCAGGGACCTAATGCAGAAAGACAGTTTGAAGATGCTGTCGTTCTGTTTCCACTCTTATTTTGGTCTTGTACTCCAAAGTTCGCGGTGCCACATATTCCTTTTTTCTGGAGACTTGAGTTTGCATCGCTACAGCGTTCTCCGCTTATTACCCGGTTCTTCACCTGCCACTGAAGACACCTGTCGACTAGTGGACAGCTCAACAGTTAGACTATGTGATTATGAAGTTTCAAGGAATATAACTACTCCTCTCTGCTTTGCTCATAGATGGGTTCAGCCCTGGTGGAATTCCCTTTGGAAATTTTAAACTACTCGTTAGCTTCAGCGATCGTACTAGCAGAAGAAAATTAGCTCTGCACCGGTTCAATAGTTTGACACTAGAGCACACATAGGAGCTGGTCAACTGTTAACGGGATACGCATAATCTTTGCTCTATGGACTGAAATTTCACCGCCTAAACCGACCTCATTTTCTTCTCTTAGACACATACTCAGTACCTAAATAGACAGCCAACATATGGTTTTCGAGTCTCACGACTTCTATTCTTTTCTTCATCTTGTAGCCTATGGAATCGAATGGAATCGTCGAGCTCGCAGTCTAGTTATAACATGAGTCCGTTAATTCCTGTTTTCGTTTACGTACTGAATATTGGCTAAGAGGATTTTCCTAGAATCCTAAGTTTAAGCCATTGTTAGGGCATTCTCAGGTATTTGTCACGTGCAGTCCATTCCTTGTGAATTGAAAAGTCCATTGCCCTTCTTTTAGATTCTTCCTATTTGGAACGATTCACGCCATTAGTTAACCGATGAATAAAAACCAAACGGTGTTCTCACCATGTAAAAATGTAAAAATCTAAAAGATGTTCTACAAGATTATCTCATTCGTACTGCAAAACCGTTTGCAACGGGAATAGAACCGTAGTCTCACCTGGATTCAATTCGCGATAGGTGGCAATTCCATATGAATCAACAATACTTTGGAACACCTCAGTGAATTTGTTCGTCCTGTTATACGTTGGTGGTTCTTCTGGAGTGTCCAACACATTCAATACTGGTTCCATTGCAGATCCAGACGCTTTCTGAGAAATTAACATCTAGTCGGAATAACGGCATCAACCTGATAACCAACTATTCCAATACTATTTTCATCAAAAACGTTTTCATGCAGCCTATTTTACTTGTGGATGAAGTGGTATCAATGAAATAGTAGTAACACTTCCACTATGGCTGACAGAATAAAGAAGGATACTCACTGCTCCTCTTTCCAGGGCAGCTTTCACCTCTTCGAGATGCACCCGAGGCACCCAACATTCGGCCACAAAAAATCTTCCGATTCGGTCAAACGTGAAAAGGTTTAGATGATGGTAGACGGTTTTCTGCATTCGTACCTAAAAATTTCAATCACAACCATTCCTGTTCCTCATTCTGAACGCGTTTCTCACTCGTTAAGAAATTCCTATCTTCTAATTTTTAGTTTTTCGCATTTAGGGAGTGTATGCCATAGAACTAAAATAAAATAAATAAAAGTAATACCAAATAAAGTAAAATAAGTTGAAAAATACCACTGAAATGACACGCGTGCTAGTTCTGTCTTGGAAACTTGTGAATAACTAAGCTGTCAGTAAAAGCTGAGAAGAAATGGGAATACAGCTTGAGAAGATTATCAACGCCTCTAAGGACACGTTTTAAAATGTTCAAAAAAAAACTATTTGAATTTGGCGAATTCTCACTGTAGCATCCGATTTAAAGAAAAAAGAAACTTTTAGTCACAATTACCCGACTAGTTACACGAGAAATTTCCATGACTTTAAGCACAAAAAGAGCGCTTGTAAGAAACATGTTTCGAACAATCACGGGCGCGTGTACACTAAGAGAGGGCAGGAGGAAGAATCCAGGAAATTAGCGTGGCAAATAGCCGTGTCTAGTGGCTGTGAAGTTGTAGTTTCTTAAGATAGGTCTAGAAGAAAACTCAGGTTTTCAAACGACAACTCTATTGATAATAAGGTCCCGTTCATGCTGCATTTTATCTCGAATGAAATAAGCGCAGCTATAAAACGTTGCTTAAGACGGGACAGTCTAGAGAATTCGGTAACAGTGAGTGAAATACCACCAAACACTCTATAAGGCCAGCTATCTCGCAATCACTTGTATGGCCGTCTATGTTCAACGCAAAATTGCATAATATGGCCTAACAGCAGAGACAGTTTCACGAGTTCGGCAACGCTTTGTCTGATCCCTTCTAAAGTCTGCGGGAATGAAAACGTTGGCGAAACGAGTAGACCACTCTGCGTTCGTATAAAAGAATACCTAGTTGGCAAACGTAAACCAAATATTCCACTAGGCATGCATAGGACGCAGAGAGACAAGGGAAGGATTTTAAAGTAGGGGTTACGATCTTCGCACAGGAATCGAAAACATAAGTGCGCAAAACTCTCGAGGCATTCTGAATTAATTAGAGGAATTCGGAAATGAACTGCAGGGAAGAATGCCTCATAATCATGCATGATATTGGACAGCATTTAAACCTTTTATTCTGATGGGAGGGGCACATTACGCGTCCATGTGAACCCTATGCGGTTGGTCTCCACTCGAAATACACAGTGGTGGACTTATAGAAAGCTTTGAATGTGCTAAGAAGTTATTTTAGTTTCAGTGCGATTGAAATCTTGAATTAGCACTTTCTCTGCTTGGTTATAGAGGTGTTTCGCTGGGTAGATTGCAGTCAACTTAACCTTTCTAGGCTCTGAGGAAGACGAAATTCGCCGAAACGTCAGCTTCATCGTAATAAATAAATGAAATAACACCTCGTGTTCGCTCAACAAGAATATAAGGAATTTAAGCAAACAGATTAAATATCCAGGAATATCGCTACGATCTGACTGATTGACAGACTGACTTGTCTGAGCCAATCGTTGTGGTTATTGGCGGCGGCCTGAAGGACTCTGTAGCGATGCTCTTTCGTCTGTCCGAGCACTGTGCGTAAGTCCTGAAGACGAGCCCGCACGTCAGTACGAGCCGACTGCCGATCCTGTAATCATAGCAGTTTCCCATTTGACATTAAAAGCTATTGCTTTTATTGGAATCAAAAAGAAGACAAAAAACCGCTATCTGTTGAGCTGTTGTATCTCTGCGTAGCGTGTATAAAGTCGCTCACTCTAGTTTCTGTCCAGCCCATATTTAACCCGCGTGTGAAAAAACATTCTTCGTCACCTCTACTTTTAACCAAACTAACTAACTAATTAAGCGAATCTTACTAACTGAACTAAAGCTTTTCTGAACATTCCAGAACACATACTAAAATTGGAAAAATAAAAAGAAAGTTGTCAAAGAAGCGAGTGACTCAATAATAGTGGAGCCGTTCATTTCGCGGAGTGTGCGATATACCCACTAGCAGGTTCGATCGCATCGGGTCCACCAGGCTTCTCATTCCTCGGGGGTTGAGAAATTGGCACCAAACTTGTTTCGCGCCGGCTCACTCCTTCCAATCCCAGTAGACACAGCCTAGCTTCTCTATCCAAGGAGTTCAGGAAGGATCGAACTCTACCGGCATTCAGCGACATTGGTGATGAAGACGAAAGCCCTCAAACAGAGACCAAACTAACAAGCAGAAAGTTCGAAGAACTTAGTGGAAGATGTGCGCCAGGTTCCGTACTCCGTACGAAATCATATGTGATGAGGAACATGATATGTCGGGTTATGCAAAAAAAAAGTTAGAATTTACACATCTCTACAGACAAGATGCAATTTTTCTCCACCTATCAGACTGAAATGCCGATGTCGTGGAGCATGTGAATCGTTTCTTCTCTGCTTACTCACCTATGCGATGCATGGTGCACTCTGCATGAAATGAAGAACGACGAAAGCTTTATCCTTTTCTTGCGTAATATGAGATATTAAGTCTTTCCGAAAATGAGGCCCGATTTTCGTTTCATTTTTCTTGCACACGTTTTAGCAATTGTTTTTTCTTCCAAAGTTGTATCATTATTGCAAATCATTGCAGTCAGCTGTCTTGGAGTAATTCTGACGGAAAAAAACGCAGCGTTACCTATTGTATGCCCTTTCGCTTCGTGTACTTGAAATATAAAATCACCTGTGTTTCTGAGAAATTTTGAAGGTTCAAATTTCAGATGTCAAAACAAAAGGTGCAACAAATCTACTTTTAAGAATTTAAACTCGAATGTAATGCTGTCAAATGGTTTGAAAAAGTAGCGGACTGTAGGACCAAGTAATGTCGAAGGTAAAGTGCATAGTGCGTTTGGGGGATTTCGTCGTTGCAAATTGAGTATTGAAGGAAAATCGCAGACCCACTTCTGTTATTAACGACGATAATTTGAAAGTTTTCATGGATTCAAATAAACGTACGACTCTTGCGGAAGTTGTAGAACAACTGTGTGTAGGCATCTCAACTGCTTCAGGGTACCTGATGATAAATAGAAAATCGAAGAAGCTCGAATAATTGCCGCTGCACGAATGGAATGACGATTAAAAAAATGCCGTCTTGAAGTATCGTCAGCGTTCCTTCTACGCAGCAGGAACGACCCGTTTCTCAGCCGACGGCCGTTTGTAATGCGCAACGGGAAGTAGTACTTCTATGAGAGGACGATCGACTCAACAGATGGACCGCGATGAAGTTCGACAGCACTTCCCAAGGAAGAAACTGCATTAAGGTGATATCAACCATCTGGTGGCCTACAGCTGTTTTCATCCAACACTGCTTCCTGAGTCTTAGTGGAACGAGTACGGCGGAGAAGTACGTCCAGAAAATCCACAAAATGCACCTGTTACTTCAACCGTACCGTCCCACACTGGTCACAATATAAAGGGGTCCATCCATCTCCAGAATAATGCGCAGCCGCACATCGCACTATCAACCCTGCAAGGATTGAACTAGTTTGGTTACGAAACACTATCTCAACCACCACACTCATTGGACCTCTCTCCTACTGACTACCGTTTTTTCGGCGATCCTGACAGTTCCTTGTACGATGATGCTTCAGAAACCAAACCGAGGACGAAGCTGCGTTCAACGACTTCTTCGCCTTTAAAAAACCAGAATTTTAAACAGTCGGTTCAAGCAAACTGGTTTCTTGTAGATGAAAATCCGTAGATTCCAATGGCTTTTATTTCGATTAATATAGCGTGTTCTTTACTAAGATAGTCCACTTTGAAAATACAGTTTGAGGTAGGACATTAATTTAGGAAAGATCTAATACTTCACATGTATTTTTTAAAATGACTTTTTTCCGGAAAGCCTATTCATGCGTTGCCTTTTTATAAACGTATGCTATGCATATATCATTCTTCTCACTTCTAAGGCGGAAGCGAAATGGTTACCAAGGTTCAGTGAAATGTCCTAAAACTTGAAGGAATACAGAATGTTCTGGTCCAAGTAATGATACCTTCCCGCCTTCCCCTTCTCTCCTAAATGTATCTAAATGTAACGTGATATAAAAGAAATGCTAAGCCTATCCTATCCTATATACTAACTGAAAAGAATGAACCAACAAAGTTCGAGTGACAATAATGCCTTTTGTAATCCACAATTCTACAATGTTATTCATCTCACAACGTTCTGAAACTTGAACAGACGAATGGAGCAGTCCTTACCTTGAACGTGTTCGGGCAACTCTTCATGAGTTTCGCTTTGAAACCGTCGCACACCTTTTCGACAATGCTACGCAGACGATCTCCCTTATAGAAGAGGATGAATACAGCCTTCTGGCATTTTTCATCCTGAAACAATTATATATAACCAGGGATATGCTGAAAATATTAGCTGTCCAACTAATATGCACTCCATAGGAGGAAAGGGGTCATACAGAATGTTGGAGCCCAGTTCTTAGTAGTGCCTTACAATAGACAAATGTTTTTGGCCCTATTCTGCAGTTAAGCATACTAGGCCTTCCAACCCTCCGAAGTCGATAGACTGGTGCCAGACTGGGTCTCGGAAAAGAAGAACACTGATTTCATAAACCAGTAGTTCTCTGTAAGTCATTGTTTAGGCCAAATATGCGTTTAATAATCTCTACGATGTTCAGTGGAGGTATCGTTTCTCCTTTACGATAAATTCACTTTTTCGACTATTGTAAACGTAATACAACTAACAAAACAGAACTAATTACTCGCATTTTCATCTTCCAGATCTTCGTCAATCGGTGAACTTCTCAAATATACGGCATGGTGACAAGCTCTCCAAAGTACTCTTTCAAACGCAGGTAGCCGTTCTCGTCGTATTACACCAACAGAATAACTGAATACAAAAAAACACATATATTTTATATTTGTACCTAACGTATTCTTAAATCTTCTTTACCAAACATCCTTACTTCGTTTGCAAGTCATAAAATATCCCTTCTAAAAAATCCTTCGTATCAGAGGACTATGTTTTAGCGGACTGGTTTGGGTGGGATAATGGAACGGTGTTGTAGGTGGGACCGTTATCAACGGAATCAACGGATCGTAACGACCGACTGACGGCGACGACAACCGAACAAGGCCGGGGATGACACCTCGCCATACTAGTGAGAGATTGGCACATAATTGAGAGAAAAACCGCCGATAAATAGATGTAATTTTGTGAACGTTCTACAACTATGTGCAAAAAGAAAAACGAGAGTACTTATAATTTCAAAAGAGAAGCAAAATTTTCTGCGATTGTAAGAAGTTCTACTAGGAAATTAAAAACACAGAACGAAATTCTGCCTAAATATCTATAGCGAATGATTGTGGTATAAAAGACTGGGAAGCGATAGTTCAGAGAAAAAACTGCATACAATTTGGGTTACGAAATGGAATCGGGTCAACGGAGAAGGCCAGGTTAAATGAAAAGCTACATCATCGAAAGCTGTTTGGGGCAAAATACATGAAACGGGGATCAACTGAGAGTTTTTTAAATGCGTAAGAAAGTGTTTACCCAATTGGAGCCTTCTCGACTTTTCCATATTCTTCCTCCTGAGTCTCCAATTCCTCAGCAGCTTGATCGTCCATTCCCTTAAAGATAAAGTCAGATTCCTTTAACTTGACCTTAGTTTTTATAAAATTGCGTAATAGAAACAATAAGAGACAACGTATGTATATTGCATGGAAAATTGATTTGTATAAACATAAGAAATAAAACAGTTGAAAGCCATCATCTCACTATAGAATTCCAATGCTAAATGGCTGTGTTTTTGTTATTGGATCACTCAAACTAACTAGTAATAGCCATTATATAATAAATACTAAAAAAACACTACGCATATGACCAACTCCTTCCAGGAATTCGTCAGTCCTGTCGAGGACCGCGTCCCATTCCTTCAATTCCATGTAGTTCATCATCAGCTGCGAGTCCGACTCATTCATATTTTTCACATCCCGTTCAAGGTCAGTAAGTGTTGTCTGAATTACCAACATCAGGCATATAAGTGCCATTCCGCACTTACATCATTGCACACATGAAACAGCAAAATGTACCGCACGCATTGACATCAATGCATATTCTTTCTGTGGTTCTAGCTTGCCAAAAAAGGATTGATTTGCCATATTTTTGTATCCAATCGATAAGTAATAGCACACAGATGTTGGGGCACACCTGTTACTTAAAATACCCACTTCATAGTGTATAGAAAAATTGGGAAAACCCACAAAACAATCAGATGTAAACGCGTCAGTGCAAAAAATTACTGTTGAGATCTCGTGTTTTAATCTCGGGAATGGAATTGTCGAAACTGAACAATTTTCCAGTTTCTAAATTCCTCACTCTCCTTTACTACCTTCTATTTCATTTCACTTCACTCCCACACTACTTTCTATCCCACGTTGCCTTTTTTGCCGTTGTTATTCTATTCACGTTGTTTAATCTCCATAACCAATGAAGATGTGAGTGGCTCGAACAAGTTTAACGAAAGTCCTCCCGCGCTAACAGTTTCTCTATCAGGCTTGTCTAATAAGTTGCTTATGCCTAATACATCACGTTTCATTTGAAAGCAACAGTTTAGAACCTATCACTTGTTTTTCACAAACCTCCAGCTGATTAAGCTCGGCGGTTGGCATGATGTTGTAGTCACCCCGATCCAATCTTCCAGTGATGATAATGTGATTTTTTGCAATCTGAGATTCCAAAAATCCTAAAAATAAGTCTAACTGGAGAGGTATCAAAGCTTTTATCTTAGTTATCGTGATTATATCCTACTGAGTTTTCTCTCCATTTCGTCGTATCTTCGTATATCACGAACGAAGGTCCTTTGGAAGGGATTCACATCGGGATTCAGCTAAATAAAATATTGGTCACTATTAACAAATGTCAAACATAAATGGTTCAATGAAGCATTAAACTATGGTCATTTGATATGAAATGAACCGATCTTCGAACAAAAATGAGCCAGACTTTTTGCCTCTTGCCTTAAACTCTTGCCAGCATCTATCTTACCATCTATCATTATGCCATATGTCATTCTAAGGAGATAACTTCTTTACAATTATATGCTAACAAGTTTGTTTTTACGAAAAATTAGGCTAATTGAGCGTTTTTCTGCAAGACATCAAGCCTGGGCGAAAGTTCTCAGAAACGGCTAGCGGCATAAAAGTTACATTTTTACAGAGGAGGTTTAACGATCATTCAATTGTAGCTTAGTTTCAAAAAAAATTCGTTACGATGATGAGATTCTTGAAAGGGAAACGTTGGGGTCGAATGAGAGGATCAGAGAGATTTTCTCCCACTCCAGATAACCGTTTGAAGATGTCGACAGCAGCAAATCCACTCAGAATGTTAACTCGAGAACTCTTTCTTGAAACATTGCCTAAGTGACAGGTTAAGTGACAGTGACGTCCATTCAGTTGGGAAGTAAGAAGCTCGACAAAGGAAGTTGCCTAGATTGAATGGGTGTCAGAGAGACCGTCTTCACGATGTCAATTGTGCACTTCTTCTACACCACCGGAGCTATTTGTTTCTCAGCATCAATGCAGTGTGTGGCACAAAAATAAATTCAGCATGAGGACAGGAGATACCTCGCCTAAGATTTGAAAAGAAGCAGGCTCCAGAAAAGACTTGGTTACTTCTTCACTCTCTGCAGATCGAACCTATAAGCTCTTGAATTCTAACCACAGAAAATCGAGAAAATCCGTCGACAACAGTAAAGCCTGCTGTGAAGCCAGCGCTTGTGAGCTGATTCTGCTGCGTAAACGGCAATGAACACGCTCACAGCCCCCTCAAAAGTGGTGGTACAGAAGCTGAACAAGCCGGAATAGCAAACTTTTCTTACCAACTTTTGCCACAAAAACTATCTATCAATGATGTATTCTAGGTATTTCCTTGAACACACGAACAGCTTTATTGGCTTGAAAAACCTTTAACATTCAAAAAACTATCAAAATGATTTCCGACGAAATTAATAAGTATGATTTGCCGACCCCGGAGGGATGGAAGGCTTGGTGAGCTTTGAGGCGCGGGGATAAATTCCGCGTGTGTGTCGCAGTGGAGCCTCCAACCACTGCGCTACACGCGCCCTTGTTCTAGTTCTTAAATAGATCGATAAAACTAGTCGTACAAAGAGTTTGTAACATTTTAAAAACTCCGTTGAAAACCAGGTATTTCACATCGAACAAGAACCAGTACCATCAAGCATTTACACCCGTCGAAATCTTATAAACATTGAAACCTTTGAGTTTTTACCTATTATTGCTAATTAAATCACAAAAATTATGACGCATCCTTAAAAGTAATCGTAAACTAATTGTAAACGTAAATAACTATAAACCATAGTACAAATTATAATTATATGCTGCTTGTTATTGTGCCATCTAAGATTTTCCATTAGTAAGGTGTTTTGAATAGTAAAGCTATTATAGTTACTATCACCTGTCACCAGTAGTCCCACTGATCGCCGAGTAACTCGAGCAGGCGCCAGTAAATCTTCCATTTTTCCCTGTCGCATGCAAGAATAGCCCAGTGGGTTCTGCTCGCTCTAGGGACTCGTCGAGCATCACATCTTTCTTCAAGAACTCTGACCATCGGGTCGATTGTCTTCCTGTAGTACGTTTGGCATCCCGAGGAATCCAGTCACTAACGGTTCTTGTCTATCGGTTGTCATTCATACGCACTTTGCGTCCGGCCCACCTTATCTTCGACTGTTTGGCTTACAGGACGGCATGTTTGATTTTTCATCATTGACGCAGATCGGAGCGTCGGATCCCAATCTTTACTTGTGTGGAACGGGATACTTCTAGCATCGTCCTTTCGACTGCGCGTTTGATAACGCTGTGTGACCTTTCATCCTGCTTACGCAGAGACCAGGATTCTGACGCAAACGTTAGGGCAGAAAGTACCGTTGAGTCGAAAAAGTGGGTACGGAGTCGGGTGTTCTTTGTTCTCTTCACTACATCCCCGATGCTCTTGGAAGCTCCCCATGCCGCTCGTTTCCTTCTGCTCAGCTCTGTAGCTAGGTCGTTCATCATATTGATTTCCTGACCTAGATAGATATAACTGAAGCATTCGGAGATATTCGTTCGGTTGAGCGTGAATGGGTCATGCGAAACCAATCCTTTCTTCATGAACATCGTTTTTGTGAGATTTAGTCGAAGACCAATCCTTCCACAGGCTTTATCAAATCCGTCAAGCAAACGTTCCGCTTGGCTAATGTTTGGTGTTATAAGGACGATGCCATCAGCAAAGCGAAGATGGTGTAATTGCCGACTGTCGATTTTCACTCCCATACTATCCCATTCCAATGTTCGCATAACGTTCTGGAGGGTGGCGGTAAATAATTTTGACGAGATGGTATCGCCTTGCCTAACTCCTCTTTTGACGTCAATGTTAATGTCCTTGTAGAGTGGTGATACCTTGGTTGTGAAATTTTTGTACAGCTCACAAAGAGTCTTTATGTAC